ATCAGGGTTGCCCACTATACCCACTACTTCGCCGGCAGAGACAGGGAGTGCTGTCCTGTCTTACGTGGAATCGTTGTCACTGTTATGGATCGAATCAGGATTTCCGCGTACGCTAATGACGTAGCCATGCTCGTGTCATGCTGCAGAGGCATTCAGGTGGTACAGAAGGCATTTGAACGGTGCGAAAAGGTCACGGGGCCAAGATTAATAGCAGATGTCTTCCAGATCGCGGTTAGGTACTTGGAAGTGGTCGCGCTTCCAGGACTGACGGACCCGTCCACATTCATGGAGTGTGGTTCACGCCCATTCTTCAGTTGGAGAAGTATTGGTCATAGATACAGTCAAAGTTCAGAGCGGCGGTCGGGACATGGCTCCGAAGGTGTGCGCCACGTACGTCTTCCTTCTCATTCTTTACCGGTTGGTTGTACTCCCTCGAAGCAAAGAAAAGGGTTTTAATGTGAATTAAAGCGAGTTATAGCAAAACAACCTCTTTTGACCAGCGCTCAGAACTTTGAAAAAAACAGAAATTGAAAGATGCAAGAAAGACATCAGGTGTAGAATACTTTGTGAATTGAGAGCTGTAAAAAAATATATTAGGCAACGTCCTCTCACTAAAGCAAATATTTTAAAGCGTCAAAATTGAGCCAAGAAATACATGAAAATTGACTTTACTTAAGTAATTTTCACGGATGAATCTCATTTGATATTAGATGGATCTGGTGGATGGGCCAAAGGATGGATTTTATCCAATTTAGATGTGCCTGTGGCTAAAAGAAAGCAACAAGACGGCGGTAGTGTTATATGGACCGGAATTGTCGACCAAACATTTATTAGACCATTCAAAGTCCATGTTAACTATTACGATTTAACTATTACGATTTTATGAGCAAGATTTTCATTGCACAGTACAACTCACCGTCTCGCAGTATTGCGATTTCATTGCTTCATGTTTTAAGTAGAACCAGAACGGACATCAGTTTGAAAACAAGCAAGAAAATAATATCTGTAGATTCTATTAAATTTTGAAAATTAAATGCATTTTAATAAACACTGAATTACTGTTCATTTTAATACTGCTATTATTTAAAATGTGTATACATTTTTGGGGGTCAACATATATATATATATATATATATATATATATATATATATATATATATATATATATATATGATTTTGTGTTTATGATTTAAAAAGAAAAGATAATGGAAAAAACATTTAAACTATTGTAGCGTTATTTTTTCAATATGAGAACTTTCTCTATATATTTGATCTTTTTAATCAGCCTTTTGTTCATATATCAGGATAAATATTCTGAGAACTATTTTTGTTATCAATATTATAATTAATATTTCTGGTTTTTATGATTAGTATTCTAATATGTTAGATTTTATTGCCAAAATCTTAATCAATTCACTTTGGTCTTTGGCCAGTTTAGGTGGAGGATTAATCAGTCTGTTGTGAGACATCAAGTATTTGGCGCACATGGCATGAGAGAAGAGATGAACGTATTAAAAGATCTGAATTATGCCAATTTAAATTATTTTAATGTCTCCTCTTTATGGCAAGCAAGTTACGCTCCAACCGACGGGGTTTTGAACGCTACGAAACACCTTGTAACGTTGCCTGTGGAAAGCATTATGTAGACAGTTGCCTTTCACACATCAACGAACACAGATATCTGCAATATATTTATAGTGGTAGGAATGGTCATTCTATTGAAGCTCTCATGGATTTTAAAATACACTTGTATATTGACGCTTAAAATATTTTAAGAATGCAAAAGACATAATGGGAAATACACTTTTTTGTTCATTTTAATACTGCTCAGTTATTGCTTACCTTACCCTGCTTCCATTGAGCAAAGTAAAACAAAAACGAAACGCGATATCCCTAAACATGGACAGCAGAATGAGAACGGTCTACCAACGTTGATTAAGGATTTAATTCGAAAATCCCCGGAAGGTTACCCGAAGAGACAATCTCATTAAGAAGGTAGGAGTGCACAACGATAGAAACGTTTTTATAATAACAACAAAGATGAAGATATGCCCGAATATAAATACCCACTGTATTAGTCTTTGTTTACTGCTTTAGGTATAAGAGTAGGTTATTCCAAATGACCCGAAATTTGGGGGGAGCTCTCTATTAATGGAACCACATCGTGTTGAAATCCGGACTTGTTCGACATATGCACTTAGAAAACAGACCAATATATTCTGTTTTCTTCAGCTTCCTCCGTCCCCCAGCTATTCTTCGTCAAATATATGCATTCTGTTGCAAGGATGTTCTTATCCTATCATATATGATCTACCATACCAATCTTTTACATCCGACATTTTGTTATATTTTTATTATATGCCTGACTTTAATTGGACACTTTTTATACACCTTATCACATATGCGATGCCTGTTCTAATTTATGAATGCTTTATTTTTAAATCATTTTTCTTGTTAGGAGCTAAATATATCCAATGTTTGCGAAGCTTAGATTTATTATTAAAGATTAGAGTATCTTGTAACATTTGCAAATGCTTTGGATTTGTTGTAACAACACACGTACATAGTGAAATGTAGCTGCAAATACACAATCATAATCGGTGTTCTCTTCATCCTTATCCTAAAAGAAACCCAAGACAATAATTTGCTATGCTTCTGAAGTTCACTATTATCCCTTAATTCTGATTTTATTTTATTCGGGTTAACGTTATTTACTTACTTATACGCTACGACCAACTCACACAGAAGTCATGGATCAACTTGAAGTTGCGATATAGTCCCATATCAGTAGGCTTTTGTACACGCTATTGATATATCTTCAGTGCGAAAACAAATTTTTCTGTAATTCTTCCCCACTTGGAAAATGTATGGAGATCTTATACACTTCACATGGCTCAATATGACAACTACGTCTTCTTAGAGTCGTAGAATTAAATTGTCATCCACATACTTAAACCATGCGACAGTTTAACCGGAATGTTCCATAGGGCTAGATATTTAAAAACATTTCATATAAATATTGAAATTCACCAGGAAGAATGGAGGCCTCATAGCTAAGCCTTTTCCTTGATGGCAGAGATGAGTTCCAAATTAAAATGATGTGCTAACGTAAAAGATTTAAATCTCTATGATATTGTCAATGACAACGTCAGTATCGATCATTAAAACTATTTTCCAAGATTCTCATGAGAATTTTTTTTTACCTTCCTGGACTATTATGGACGCAATCTTTCCTTCATACATAGTCTTGTCTCTAACTACTGTAACGTTTCCCTAATCTGCTTGCTGTACGAATCTCACACCTCTGTGTAAAGATCTGAATGCTGCACTTTGTTCGTAGAAAAGTTTATGTTTTCCGTCTAACTACTTTTGACTGCATCGGGTTTCGAGTAATGTTGTCATATTTAATGTTTAATCATTGCGTTAACGTAAAAATTGAGTTTAAGCATGAAATAGACTGTCGCCCCTGAGTGGTGACCTAAATGCCTAACATTATGTTCACATACGTTCTATCCATGATATTGAGAACTTTAACCCATAAATATAGCATACATTAAAACTATATTTTTATTATATATATATATATATATATATATATATATATATATATATATATATATAGAGAGAGAGAGAGAGAGAGAGAGAGAGAAAGAGAATTTGAATGAGAGAACGGCTTGTGAAGTTCTTACATGAATACCTATATTTCTTACAAGAATGCGAAATATTACCTCGAGATCTCAAGCAACCTGTTCTGTTATAAAAAATAAGTTTTACTGACCTTGAAACTTATAACTTAATCAAAGTTTCTATACGCACGAATCGGGAGAGTATTTATTTGGCTTATTAATGATTTTTTTTCTCTGCAACGACATACATTGTATTAAATACTATTTTAACACATGGACGGAAGTATTTAATACGTTTTATAACAGCTAATGTTGCTCTACATTGATTTGGGAGATTATTGATGAAGTAATTTGAAATTTCAACAAGATTTGCTTCGTTTCTTCCTTCGTCAGAGGAAAGTGGTCGATTACATTTGCCTTATTCCGTTCTTGAAGCAGTCTTGTTACAAAAATTCCTTACAGACATCGGAAACATACCCAAACCATCCCAGCTGGCACTGATACAAGTTATTCAGGCCTCAGAACAGAATCTCGCCTCGTATTTACAGTGAAATGGCAGCCTCGATATAGGAATAATCAAAATCCGGAAATTAGATTTGCTGTGTTCTTCATGGGATAAGAGGTAATGGGAAGGGGCCTGGCCGACTAGAGGCAATTCTACTTTGTGTTTGATTTTTCTATTCAATTCTCCGCTGGCCTTACAGAGAAGCAAAAAAAAAATGAAAGGGTTTTATTTACTGAAATCTTTAACACCTCTTTGACGTTTTCCTCGTTTCGATTTTTAAAATGAAATTGCATTTTAGTTGCGATGATTATGTTATTGAGAGATTAAGAAGTCATATTTGCCATATTTGGGCTGGAGATCTCCAGTCCTAAATTGTGTCTTGATAGAGTTCAAAAGCATCTCCACGACCTTATGAGTGATGAATTGTTTCCACCCTACAGCCTCTTTCCTACAAATGAAACAACACAAACGTTCCGCTTCTCTATCGCTATTTCTATGACAAAGGGTTCTGAGGAACTACATTCCTCAGCTCCACCAGTCCTGACATTTGCAACTAACAGCCATCATGCCACATACACGAGGATGAATCATTCCCATTCCTCTTTATATTCTATTAGTGAGGAAAAATTTCCACTCTAAAACAGATTCTTCCCTAAGAACTGCTGTTTTATGGAACAGACTCCTGACAAGATGTTTTCCCGATCACTACAATTTTAACCACTTCATGTCTAAGGTTAACCGTTATCTTTTATACATAACCTTATAAACTACACTTCTTGCCTTCTCTTATACAACATCATACAGAAACCTTTACCTTGAGTGATTCTTCAAACTTGGATGAATATTAGTAAAAAAAAAAAGATGATGGTTCCGGCCATATCACGTTGAAACACAGGTTCTCGTACGATCTTTGAAATTAAGCAACGTCGAGCCTGGTCAGTACCTAGGTGAATGACCATCTGGGAATACTAAGTGCCTTTAATTTTCATGTATGGATGATGTAATGGGTAACGGCTCATAATTGGAAATCGGAGAGCTGAATTCCTATTCGGGTTCGTTATATTCACTTACGCGCAAATAACCTTGGGGAGGTATCAATCCACTACTTCTCGCCCAGTTATGGGTTAATTAGTAGGACTTGTATCAGTAAATCATTATATAAACATTTCTTACAATCTAAGAAAAAATGTTTTATGTCTTTAAATAACCTGCAAAAGTTTAATAAACCGAAAAGCACAAACCAACCAATCAATAGTTTTTGATTAAAACTGAATTCTTCACGTACCCAAATCAATTACGAATTCATCAAACACCAAAATTTGTTCCGAATCACAGACATTTTATAATAATTTAATAAGTGCAGCTTAGATGCGGCAAAAACCTGAAAGTATGAAGCAACCAGTGAAGATCAAACTCACTACTCAGTCATAATTAATCCTACGAGACAAGCATTCTAAACATTACACTACGTCGAGGTACCCAATCGACGTTTTATATATTATTTTGAGAAGACATGCTGTATAATGCGTATATCGAGAAAAAAAAAAGTTTTCTAATGTTCTCTAAACCTCTCTATGTATCTTTTTTGAGGTGACGACTGATCACATCTTTTTTTTCTTTTTGATCTCTATTTTTCTTTCATCTCTTTTTTATCATCGTCAATTTCTTTTCAACAAACTTTTTTTATAAGCATCCTACTCATTAATATATGGCATGTGTCCAAGGATTACCATCTGTTAGTCTCTCTTTGGTCTGTCGGATAATTTTCTTTCTTTTGCTATTTTATGTTTTGCAAGTATATGTTGCTTCCGTTACAGCTGCTTTAATGACTGCTTCTATAAGTTTTATTTCTTATTTTCCTGCTCGTATAATCACTGCTGCCATTGGTGCTATCGATTTGCACTATGAGTATTTGAGCTTTTATTGTGCCTGTAACAATTACCATTGTTTTTAATCGTTGCTCTTGTTATTGATTCTCTTATAGTTGCTGCCCCACAGGGGTTATAATATTTGCAAATGTTCATAATACTTTTATCAGCTTTTATTCATCTTATTATTATAGCGCTCTAATAATGTTTTCGGTTCTTCTATCAGTGTTCGTTTTTTTTTGTTTTTTTTTCTTATCATATTTCCAGGCTAATGCCAAATCGTATTCACCTTCTTTTACCAGGAGAGAGATTCCATTTGGAATCAATTTCCCTTTTAACCCAATAGGAATTCATATTATTCTATTCAATATGTATTTATTTTTAAGTATTTGGTAATTTTTCTTTTACCTTGACGTTACAAAGAACGTAATTAGATATAATTTACTAAATGATCTCATTAAATATTACTTCTTATTCCTGTCGAAGAACTGCAGTTCATAGCAATGAACTATTTCCCTCGACTTTTGATTGAATTCGTTTTTCTGTTCTCTTCAAATAGACTCAAGATTTTAGCACATTTTCCAAAGCAATATGCTGACTTGTTTATTCGTTTCAACCTTTCTTATTTTTTTCAATGTGTCATATCCCTTCAGGGTGCGGGATATAATGGTTCTCCGCAACATCCTGTTTTAGTTTCTTTAAGTAATCCTTGATATTTTTTACCATTTCACTTTGTTCTTGACTTGCTATCCATTCACTCAAATTCGTTAAGTAACTAACTTAAGAATTTTCCCTCTTTCTCTTGCTTTCACTGCGACTTCTGTGTGTTCTTCATATCCGGTATGTATTATAGAAGTTGCAAGTGCCTTATACATATTGTATGCATAAGCTTCGTTGCAGTTCTTATTATTCTTAAAACTTACTAGTTGCCCACATATTATTATCATGGTATTCTCAGCATTCGTCGCTTGCTTCATGTATGGAAACTGCCCAACCGTCACAACCATATACAAGGGTGGGCTGAAAAGTTCATAGGCTGAGTGTGAAGGAGTGATGCTAGAGCTGTGAAATCTTGAATACTTTAATTTCGATTCGCCTTATTAATAACAGCAGTGATTTCTACCATGTAGACTTACATTTGACTGTTCAAAGAAAACAGCAAATGTAACTAGTAGTTGAAAATTGACTAAATGTTGATGTTATTAAACACATGTTTGAATAGGGCTTATTTCCTAAAGACATTGACACTTTCATTGCTGGTACATTAGGGCATGTCACTCCAGCGTTGACAACAATGCAAAAGTGGGCAGCTGAATTAAGGAGGGGAAAGAAGTATCTTGAAAATGACCCGGGACCTGGACGTCCTGCAACTTCTACCATCGAGGAAACATGCTGATAGATGACAGGTGCTTGACTTCAAATCAAATCATCAATGCTTATTAGCATATCCTATAAGAACATTCTGTAACAATCAACTTGGAACGGCAAGGGTTTCTGCTTGGTGGATGCCACGTCTTCTGACACCTGATCAAATGTGTACCAGGTTGTGAGAATCAGATGGTTTCCTTAAATATTTTCTAGCCCAGGTTGAGTATTGGATTCATCATCTTGAATCAGAGACAAAGAGACAGTCCTTGCAATGAAAACGCCCCTATGCACCTTGCTCCAAAAATGGCCAATGTCGTTTCATCTGCAGAAAAGGTGAATTCCTCAGTATTCTTTTCATGGAAAAACATTGCTTTTATTTATGATATTCAAATGACGAGTCCTTTGTTTCTATGGTTGATGTGCGTAACTATGGCATTGAACTGATTAATCATGCTTACTATTCTCCTGATTTGGTCCCATTGGACTATCATCTGTTCCCCAACATAAAAAGAACACTTGGTTGGGAACTAGTACCGCAGTTATGATGACGTCATATGTGTTGTTGATAACTTTTTGACTAACAGAATGAAAGCTTCTTCACTAATGGGATCCATTGTCTATAATGCTTTGGAATGAAGATACCCCGTTAGTGACCCCAAATGAAATACGACAAAACTGGTATAATGTGCCCTTAGCTTTAAACGCGGAGTACAGTTTGTTTTCCCTCGAATGCGATATACGATCTTCAAATTCAAAGAAGAGGAAATTTTATATTTAGAGATTTCCGAAGCCAGATCGTCCATTAGTGGTATGGGGTAAGCGTCGATTGAATCTATTAATAGTTCTACTATAATACAAAACTAGCCTCTTTTAACTAACTTTCTATCCAGGCACATTGCTACCTCCGTAGATGGTCATTTAAGGTCCCACGTCCATATCTCCCGCCCTGGGTGATCGACCCGGTGTTTATCGACGAGACCAAACTCGCCGATCAGATAAACCACGCTAAGATCGTCTGGTCTCCTGCTAGCTTCCCGTCCCTGTCTATTTTGGGATCCAGTATAGCATACACAGGAGAAATGGGAAGGCTCCTAAGCCTTACCTTTTTGGGCAGCTTTCTGACTGACGAATCAGGAGCAGATTGTCTTGGCCCATTCCGCCCTGCTTTGACCAGATTTTTTTCTTATACTGCTTCTCCCGCGCCCCTTTTTAACGAGGACGAGGAGAAGGCATCTCATCCATCTCCGTAAGCGCACCAAAACTTAGCTCTTCGAGCTGCTATTGTTGTTGATGCTACTCCTCCTGATGCTGCTCTAGCTGCTGCAAATGAAACTTCTTATTTTCTTGACACCGCTGTTTCTGCTTATGCTACTGAAGGTGCTGCTCCTGCTTCTAAAGCTGTTTTACCGCTGCCTTTGCTGTTGAATCTGCTTCTGCTGTTTCTTCTGTTGTTGCTGCATTTGCTTTTTGGGGATCTCCTGCTAGGGCGTCGGAGATAGGGTAAAAATCTTTGCTCCTTCGTGAGCCAACTCTCTCCAGTCCCTGTGACTATTGAAGGCCTTGCTGGACTTATCCTGCACCAGTGCTTCTTTTGATGTACTAAGTAAGGTGTTCTACCCCTAGACGATTATATACATCTTTCGTCCTCTGCACATCAGTTTGTCGGGGATGTGGAGGAACCAACTCCGGTTTAGGGTTACCTGGAGACCGAAGTCTCCTGTAAGCACGTCTGCCTTACTCAGACCACGGGGAACATCCCCGACTTGACCGAATGTACCGTGATTTTCCTCCGACGTGTGCCCATGTATTCGGTCTGCAAGGGGAGTGCTTTTATAGTCAGCACGTTTCCTGTTGGTCCCTTCGCCTCTTCTTCCGTTGCCAGAAGGACGTCCCACATAGCATTTGAACGTTTCGCCAGAATTTTCGGCGTTTCTTTAAGCTTTTTAGTGCCTTTTCCATCACCTCCCTGGTGACGCCGATCAATTTACGGGTTTTTATATCCGTTGTCAACAGGGAAATGGTTCTTGATGTTACAGCATTTAGGGCTTCCACAATGGTCAACCATTTGTTGCCCTTTATACAGTCTTTGTATTCGAAACACATCATTTCGAAGTAGGTTACGTCTTTTTTGACCTATTAGAGGGACAAACCGATGGAGTTGGGGTCTCCACCTGAGTAGCAATTAGCTTGGAAGACTCAGCCATTGTGCTCGTGACCCTCACCACAGAACAATGATTACACTGTCGAGAAAAACAAAGTCAAAAACGCGGACAAAGATTGAACACACAGATACTATTAATAAGGCTTCGCGCAGTAATACACTCGTTCAAAACTCAAGCACTGGGGAATTTGTTGGGCTTTGATACTTGAACTCGCCTTCTGTTCTGCTAAAGAGCAGTCTGTTTAATTCCCCGGTAATTTAGTGACAAAAAGAAGCTCAACGTAAAACAGGTGTTAGAAGTGACGAGATTTGACTGGTTGCAGTATCACGTGGATACAAATAAATATACAGGATATAAATGTTGTTCATTTCACGACCTGAACAGTTCATTACAACAGCATGCATATCCAAAATAAAAATTGGTGACTGAAAGGACAATGAAAATATAATAAAAAGGATAACTTTATTTATTGAAGACGAATATTATGACAAGTACTTCTTCGTTAAAAAGATTTATTTCCCGTTATGTATAGCGTTGAAGGATTCTGGAAAAGATAATATTATGGAAATATCACCTTT